ATTGACAATCTTTCCTATTATAGAGCAAACAAAAATAGACATACAGTTTTTGTCAATTGAACAAATTGAGTAAATGTCTGTAATGTTTAATAAATATTCATCTTGGAGTCTTTTTATCTTCCTTTTCTTTTTATTTGGAGATGCAAATCATTAAAAAAGAATTTCCATAAAAAGAATTTTTAATCATTTATTTAAATTCTATACATTATTTTACATTAATATTTTTACATTATTTTACATCTATATTGGAAATTTTGTTGGTTGTGTTTTGTCTAGAAATAACCTGTTGATGGCTTACAAATGCTTTGCCTCTTCTATCAAATCCACCACCACCACCACCATCATCATCGCCATCATTTCCATCTCTCCCCCACCATCTCTTCCCTTGTTATCTTCAATAAGCTTTATCCATGTCATTTCTAGCAAATGAGTAGAGGACAGTTTGATCTTCATTTCATGTTTATTGCTTGGTCTATGATTAACCAGCTGTGGCTTGGTTCTGTCCTGTTTTGAGAATTTAGTGGCTGAGTGAAAATAGTGAATATCAGCAGGAAGTGAAGATGGTGGTGGTGGTGGTGGTGGTGGTGGTGATGATGATGATGATGATGATAGGAGGCAGAGTTGGGAAGAACTGATAAATGATTATCTTGGGAGGATGATAAGGAACAGAAAAAAGTAAGTAAAATGGTAGAGTAATGGACTGGTAAGTTTACAGTTACATCACAGACACAGACACACATACACACACATATTTATTACATAGATACATTTGTTAATTTAAGGGTGGAATGAATGAGGGTTTATATTTTAAGAGGAGGAATAGAATTTTGTTCACTGTTGTTCTCTCCAGAGTCTACCATTCGTCCATGCTTAGAATATTGCTGCCACATATGGTCCAGTGTGCTTGCTATCTATCTAGAGCACCTTGATAGGATCCAAAGAAGAATCAGCAATATTATTGACCCTGATCTGATATCTTGCTTCAGTTACTTTCCCACTGCCATAAGGTTGCCTCCCTGTGCTTTTTCTATAATTATTTTCATACTAATTGTTCTGACGAGCTCCTCACTATGGTACCTGGTCTCTTTGAATTTAAGCACAATACTAAAAAAGCAATGAGGTTTCACCAATTTACAGTTGAGCTGACATATCTAGTCAGCTCAACTGTAAATTGGTGAAACCTCATTGCTGTAAATTCTATGCTAACAGTTTCTTTTGTCATTTGTAGAAGTCCTTTCCAGCCAACTTTAATCTGCAAAAATTTAAATGCAATGTCAATCAGTATCTGTCATCTTGATTACTCTTCCTCTGTACTCGCTCCTTAGCATTGTTACTATTTCTAAGCCTAACCCACACCTACTAACCCCTTGGTAGCTTTCCTGCCTTGTTTGAGGTGAAATTGATTAAAAAAAATATGGCAAATATGAAATAATAGTTTTTTAAAGAGACTTCAATGTCATTAATAAAATTTGTTTCAGTCTTGATGCCCACATGCTAAAGTGCCATTAAATTGGTAAGTGATATTTTCTAAATTCTACACACACACACACACACACACACACACACACACACACACACACACACACACATATATATATATATATATGTATGTATATATGTGTATATATGTATATATATATGAGTCTCACCTGCACAGAAATTAAGACAGAAATCTGAATTAGTTTTTCTAGTTTTATAAGAAGTCGTAGTGTGTTGCCATCACAAAAATGTTCAGCTATGATTCTTCTTTCTGGGTGACTCTTAGAACTTTTTGAACAACCCTTGTATTACTAGTGGACACACACACACATATATATATATATATATATATATATATATATGCCATCTAAATGATAGAAGCTGAAATGTTTACTGGCTGATTCACTTCTCAAAATTTCAATGACCAAACATAAGAATAATGAATTTTCTTGTAGCTACTTGTAAACACAAACTCATACATAAATAAAGGAATGAAAGCATGTATCAATGTAGGTGGTCAGATCTCTGATCCAATTTTGTTTGAAAATGGAAAACAAGAAGATATAACAGAACCGATTCTGTTCATGTTATACTTTATGATGGTTTTCTTCAAAGACTTTCAAGGATTCAAACATGAGCTAAATTCTTGAATATAAGATGAATTGCCACCAAAACAAATTGTCATCACAAATACATAATCTTCGGTATGCTGACAATTGTGATATTGTTGCCCACTGCCAAAGTAATACAAGGGTGGTTCAAAAGAGTAATACAAGAGTTGTCCTAAAACCTCAACAACTGATGAATAAGTTGATGCCATTCACTGTATGGTTTTGGATGACAGATGTCCTACTGTTCAGCAGATAACTAAGTCCATAGGCATTAGTTCTGGTTTGGTCCATAGTATTTTAACTGAGATCTTAGGGATGAGCAAGCTGTCTGCAATATGGGTCCAAAAAATGCTGGCACCAAAACAGAAGCTGAAAATGGTTGACATTTCCAGGAGACTTCTAACTTGCCTTCAGGCTGACCTTGAGAATTTCATACACAGATTAGTAACTCAAGATGAAACCTGTTTTCACCACTTTGAATCTGAATCAAAGATTCAAAGCAAACGATGGAAACACTCTGGTTCTTTACCCCTGAAGAAGTTCTTAGTTCCTGAAGCAGACTTAGCTCCATCAGACTCCTTCCTGTTTCCTAAACTCAATTATGTGGTCGCCATTTTGAAAACAATCCTGTGGAGGTGTTTTTGGAGGACCAGGATACCACCTTTGTGATTGGATTAAGATGCTTTGTCATTGTTGGACCAAAAGAGCATTGATATCAAGTGGGACTATATTTTAAAAAAATTGAAAAACTCTCTTGTTTCTTCAACTCCTTCTGAGGCTAAGAACTTTTTGAACTACCCTCATTTGCAACATCTTATGTCTTCTTTCTCAACAGCATGTAGTGCAATGTTGATCTAATGATTAGCCTGAAGAAGACTGCTGTAGTGGATCAAATTGCCTGATCAGAGCATTTATGTGTACTTCCAGAAATTGCACATTGTGGAAAAGTTCATTTATTTAGGCAGTGCTGTAGATATGAGAAATTCCCTGGATGATGAAATCTCCATCTGAATCAAGAAAGCAAGTAAAGCTTTTGGAAAACTGGATAGACATTGTTGGCCTCAGCATGGGAGTCTTGAGTGAGACAATGTTCATAATATTTAGTTTAAAGTTTATAATATTTGTGTTTTGTTTTCATTATTGTATATATGTGAGATCTGGGTCACTTACCAGAGCTGCATGAAAAGGCTGGAACAATTACCATTCTATGTTGGGCATCCTGTAGCAAATAACTTCCATGGCACAATTTTTTATAAGAAAATTAAAGATTTCATTTCAAGGGTGTTGCAAAAAAAAATTATATATATATATATATATATATATATATATATATATATATATATATATAAATATTCAATATATATGTATAAAATATTCAATTAAAAAACAATCTGACAAATTAATTATTAGTCAAAAATGATTACATGAATAAAAAAGTGCTCAATGCAACTTAAGACATAAAATTTTAAAGGAAAATTAACCTTTCCAATACTGTGTCTTCCTTCCCCACCTCTGGTAATATCAGGCAGTAAGTTAGATTTTACTTATATATATATATATATATATATATATATATATATATATATATGCACACTGTGTTTGTATGTCTATATAAGTACATTAATAAATCCATAAACTAATGATGAGAAAACAACTTTACACAATATATTCATATATTTATCAACATAATGCCTTTTCTTGTCAATACTCTTCAAATTAGCACTCTTCATAAGATATTATAACAAATAATAACTATGCAAACAGCACAATGCTTTCTAAACATATGTGGGAAACTAAAAACAAAAACTAGATTATACCAGATATATGAAAAATAAGGAAAACAGCATCAGCCTACAGCAATGAATCCTAAAACTATAAACTCTGATTCAAGAGGAAAATAGCGATAAATGCCTTCCCAGACCAACAAGAATTACTAAATAAACAATCAGAACTCATCACAAAATGCAGACACAAAAACAAATTTTTACTATACTTAAAAATCGAAAACTACAAATGAATACCTTCTAAAATACCACCATGACAAGTGCAAATATATACACTATATACACACAGTTAATGTAACATACTTTAGACAAATCCAATACTAATAATTACTAAACAAATAAGATAACAAACACTGAGAAAAAATAAATAAAATAAGCAAAAAATCTAACGAAACAAATTAAGTAAATAATAAACAAATTAGCAAAACTATAATGGTCTTTTCTAAGCCCAAGTAAATGTAATAATAATCAACAACAAATAATTAAGTAATCAATAATGAATAATGAGTAAAAGTTATAGATAAACCGCATTCAGATCACATTCAGATTGACAATTATTTCTACTCAATAGCCTCTAAAATAATTTGATACATAACCTTTACCATCTATCCAATAATTACTAGAATAATACAATAGACTTTCTACCTATAATACACCACTAACCAGCATATATAAATAGTTGAGCCAAAACACAACACACATGGCCTGAAGATTGTGTTCAAGCATGTAACAGATTGCAGCTTGGTATTGACCTCAGTGTCCACTTTTATATTTTATATTTACATACCCTCTATCTCTGATATTGAGTACTTTTACTCATAAATATAGCATACTTTAAAAACAATATATTTATCATATATTAGAAAGTATGGGGGAGGAGAGAAAGACCAAATATTCAAATAAAAGATAGAAAAGCCTCTTACTGTAAATCAGACTCAAAAGACAGATGAAGAAGAATACATTCTACAAAGTGATGGTTAACAAGCTAACCTTGCATATTATGTACTTGCATAGAGAGTTCAGTTCTCAGAGGAGTGCTCCATTGTGGCAGAATAAGCTAATACATATGAGAAGGGTAGAGATTGAAATAGAGAGAGAAATAAAAGTGTAGAGAAAATGACAAACACTAATGAAAATGTGTAATAAAGAAAGAAAAATAGGCAGAGAGAGAGAGAGAGAGAGAGAGAGAGAAAAGGGAAAAACAAATAAAAGAGAAAGAGAGTGAGATGAAGAAATAAAGAAGATATACAAAGAGAGAAAGAAGGTAGAGAAGAAAAGAAACCAGAAATAAAAAATTAACAAAAATTAAAAATGAAAGCAAATCATAGAAAGTGTTAGTATGAGAGGGAAATTGAGAAAGAGGACAATTGAAGAAGGCAAAGAGTGAGATAATAATAATAAAAAGAAAAAATATATTGCAAAAAAAAAAAATTACTTGAATTGAAAAGCAACAGGAAGACCAGGCAGTGAACAAGGGAAGAGAATAAGGAGAGTGTGGCAAAAATAGAAAGAATTGAAAAAAAAAAAAAGAAAAAAGAGGGTAGGCCAGAAAAAAAGATGGGAAACGAGCAAAAAGAAAAGAAGAAAAGAAAGGAGAAAGTTAGAAAAACACCAGGCGGTGACAAAAGAGAAAAAAAGTAAGAAAAATGGAAATATGAACATAATGTAGCGAACAAAGTAACTTGAAAAGAGGAAGAGGTGCGTAAACCATGCAGTGACCAATAGGGAGGAAATTAGAAAAAGAAAAGTCATAAAAAGACCAAGCCATAACAAAAAAAAGAAAGAAATTAGAAAAAAGGCCTCATAAATACCAAGTAGTGACAAAACATAGGAAAATGGATGGAAAATGAAGACTATATTGTGACAAAAGGGAATGAATTTAGAAAAAGAGAAAAATATTCCAGGTTATGAAAAAAGCAAAAAAAAAAAAAGAAAAAAAGAAGCAAATGGAAGGACACAAGAAAACAAAGAGAAACAAATTAAGAAAAAGGATGGTTCTAAAAAGTTTCCACTTTGAAAAAAAGAGAAAAAATAGGAAAAAGGAAAATAAAATAAAGAGTATGCAGTAACTGAAGATTAGAAAATTATAAAAAAAAGATCATTCATTGATGAAAGGAAAAGAAATTATAGGCAAAGAAATGAAGATTATTTATTGAATTAAGAAAAAAAGGGAAAGCCACATGAACATTATTCCTTGATTATAAATGAGTGAAATTAAGAAAAAGAAAAGCCACATGAAGATCAAACATTTGTAACAGGCTTTCCTGTCCTGTTTAAATGCATGAAATTTCAGGACAGTGATTTGAAGGGCCTACTAATTGGATAATAATTATTAAAACTGATGAGATTAGAACGAATGGTTGAGAAGAAAATTAAAAAGTAAAAAGTATGTTTAAAAAAAATAAAATGAAAAGAACAGTTCCAAGGAGAATCAAACCCAGATTTAAGTCAACAAGATTCAGTAAAATTGAGCAAAACCAAGATTCTCAACCCTTTCCACTTCCCACTGATAATAAACAGACAATTAATGTGTTGCCCAAATTTTGGGGGTCTGGAGAAACTAGAATTCAGATGTTTTGTTTACACTACATTATCTGCAGAAAATGTGTGTAGTCACAGAAAATAATGATCTAAATTACTTTAGACAAAGAAACAAAACATCTGTGTCATGTGGGGCCTGTAAGATTTGTGATTTATTTATGTTGATCACTCCAAGAACCTAATTATCTAGGAAGATTTCAAGTAAACAAAGGAAATACCATATGTATTTTTTAACAAGATTGCCTAAGATTGAGATGTCCTCTTTCTGCAATGACTGGCTGAAATTTTTATAATTATCATCATTTTGGATTTCTGGTGAAGAATCCTTCACAGTCAGTGATAAAAGCCAGCATGTCAATTTACAGGAATATGGAGATAATGAAATTAGGCATTGTGAATTGTCATTTTCTATTGCCTGGCTAGGTAAAGTGAAGTCATTAATCATTGTTATTGGAAAAGATTTTCCTATCTAAAGTCAGTGTACATTTTGCTTAGTGGTCATTTTCCTGAGTGGGGTGTTGATATCAGACATGTGAGACACACCCGCAGTTTGGTGGCTTGAGCCAACACACAGATACATGAATGACAGAAGAATTGAAGAAGGGATGACTGGCTGGCTATTACTGTAATGGTTGTGACTAGAAGTTTCCAAATCACCATTCCTGCAGTACTGATTTGCAGTAACTAATAGAGGCATTTTTAATTTATATTCAATAAACCTGTTGTTAGAGTGTTGTGCATTTTATTGCAGGAGTTCTTATTCCAGTTTGATTTGAGATTTTTTGGAACATAAGAAACAAATATTTAACATAGCCACAGGCAAGAGTAATGCAATCTTGTTTGTGGTACACAATGTAAATAAGAGGTTCCTTCTAGACTTTGCCATCAATCCTAATATTGTAGGATTTTGGGAAAACCAAATCAACCCTATCAAGATGACACTCTGGCCACAACCATGTAGGAAAAAGACCTGTAATGTCATTATTATTCAACAAAGTTAGTGGAGCTAGTGACTTGCGACTGAGAGGAAAATAAGTAGAAGAAGCAGAGCTCCGAGCTGGGTCGGGGGATGTGTGTGAGTTGGGAAGTGATAGGTGTGTTGTTGGATGTGTCAATGATAAAGGTTTGTTAACACTGGTGGGTCACATATTAACTAAACTAAACTAAGTGAAATTAGGAAAAAGAAAGATGACATGAAGACCATACATTGATTAAAATGATTGAAATTAATAAAAGGTCGCATGAAAACTATTTCTTTTCAAAAAGTTTTGAAATTATTAAAAAGCAAGACCACATGAAGGGCATTCATTTTCAAAAAGGTATGAAATTTTTAAAAAGGAAGGCAGTTCAAGGCCATGTGAAGCCCAAACTATTCATTTACAAAAAGGAATGAAATTAGGAAGAAGAAAAGCCATGTGAAGACCAGTATTCATTGACTAAAATGAGTGAAATTAAGAAAGATCATTCCACATGAAAACCATTCATTGAACAAAAGTCAGGAAATTTGGAAAAAACAAGGCCATAAATGGACATGACAAAAGTAATCAGTAGGTAAAAGTTTGCAGATGTATAACTAGTGTAATCCATGTAGTAAGCCAAGAGAAATAAATTAGAAATAGGGAAGGCTTACTTGAAGAACATGACAAAAAAAGAGAAAGTAAAGTCCATAAATGGCCAAACTGAGGAAAACAGAAACAAATTTGGGACAGGGAAGGCAGCAAGTATAGGTTCTGATGAAGGCCTATATGAAGAGTTATGGCCTTGGCTGTGATGAAAGAGATAAAAAAAAAAAAAAATGAGGAAATGAAAAGGGAAGGCGACATTAAGACAATTCACTACCCCATAAATATTTTTAAAAAAAGCTTAGGTCACAAAAAAAAAAGAAAGAAAAGAAAAAAGAAAACAGTGTAAAAGAGAAAAAAACGGAAGCCACAAAATGACCATGACTAAAAAGAGTAAAAAATAGTAATAGGGAAAGGGTAAGCAATGAAATGAAAGCCATGAAAGAAGACACCCTCCTCCCACCAAAAAAAAAAAAAAAAAAAATTAGCCAGTGACCTAAGAGAAAACAAACAAGAAATGAAAGTCCCTAAAAATACCAAAGACAAAAAAAAAAAACAATAAGGAAAAAAGTCTTGTCAGTGACCAAGGGAAAAATGGAAAGAAAAAAAAAAAAAAAAGAATAAAATCAGAAAAAAAAGAAATAAAATCTGACCATGGTGAAAGAAAAGCGAAAGATAAAAAATGAGCCGGTGACCAAAGAAAAAAAAGTCCTGAAAATAAGAATGGTGGAAAACGACCACCAAGCAACGACGGAAAAACTGAAGAAAGATGTGGAAGGTTTAAAAAAAAAAAAAAAAAAAAAAAGACGAAAAGAAAGGATAACCTGAAATAAAGAAAGAGAAAAAAAAGATGAATGACTAAATAAAAGTAAAGTAAGGAAAGGTGGACGGACGTCGAAAAATGAATAAAGAGAATAAGGAAAAAGGCGAAAGAGGGGCTGACAACGATCTGGCGCATCCTTCCTAGCGTCGTTGCTAACAGCTGCTGCTGCTGTTGTTCACGCACTTTCCTCTCCCCTCTTCTTCTTCTTCTTTTTCTCCCTCCCCCCTCCTCCGAGACTCTGAACCTTATATTCATCGTCATCCACCACCATCATTATCGCAATCATCTCGGGTTGATCTCTTTCCCTTCTTCTCCCTCCCTTACTTTGATCTCTTGCCTACTGCTGCTGCTGCTGCCGTCGTAGTCAGGACTATAGTAGCTTCCATGCGTTTTGTCAGTGGATCACATTTAGAGTGCCGAATAAGCAAACCTATGTTGTGAAATAGCTTGTGAAACCGATCGCAGACAAAGCAGGTAGGTGACTATTTTTTCTTTTCTTTTTTTTGGTGGGGTGGGAATCATTCTTTCTCTTCTCCTGGACACTTTCATTTGTCCTCCAGACACCAGCGAAATGCATTAATAATAATAAAAATAAAAAGTTAATAAAAATATCAGAACTAAAAAAAAGAAGAAAAGAAAAATTATGGATGTTTCTTCATAACGTCTACTTTTTTTTTCTTGAATTTCTTAGCTGAGTCGTAAAAATGATTTTATCTTATCAGCGAGAAAATTCTGTTATTAATTTCCTTTCTTTAACTAGCAACAGGTGCCCATTGTCTTGAGTTCTTTACATTTCTATATTCTTTTCCCTTATTTTAATTTTGGGGTTCAATGTAATTTTCTTAGATTTTTTTTTTATTTATTTTTTTTACCAACATGTTTTGGCTTCAAATATGTGTACCTGCCGATCGGGTGGTTTGCAGCTCTAGCATTTAGGTCCTCCGCGAACAAAAATTGTCATTCAATTTTGACGTTTATTCAGAAAATTCAAATTCCAAATTAAATGATTTTTGTTTTTATCTAAAAATGTATAATTTTGCACTAAAGTTACAACTAAAATTTACAAATTATATTAAAAAAAATGTAATTTTAGAGACAAATAAGTTAACGTCATTTTCGCTAAATCCATTCTGTGGAATTTGTTTCCTGGTTTAAGATTTGAAAATACGTGATATTGGTATAAAATTGGAAATTCTTGGCTGGTACTTTTTTCAGTATTGCGCGCAGTAAACATGTGTAAACACAGTCGATTGCAACACAATGCATCGATATGTGCAAAGCTAAGCATGCTTCAGATTTCTGTTACATGTGCACTCTATTCAAAGAATGCAGATTCTTGCTGCATGTGCTTAATTACAAAGAAAAGGACGTGCACACTTAGACGTAAATTTCCCCTTCCATTTTCTCTACGTTCGTCTTTTTCGCATGTCTTTCTTTCATTTCCATAAATCTGTCTGAATGGAAGATCGACATGTGCTTCTTCATAAAAGAGCAGAAACATTTTGCGTTTTTCTTTCTCTCTGACTTTTCTCCGTGCTGCCTCCTTTTTTGCTGATCGGCCACAACGGTATCGAGTGTGCTCGTTGTGGTTAAAGAGGTTCGAAATTTAATAAACGTTATTTTTTCATTTCATTTATTTATTTTTTTTTAATGCGAATTTTCATACCTGGTAAAATTGTCACTAAAAAAGTCTTCTTCAGTAGTTCATGGATTTTTTTTACATAAAAAGGACCCACCTGTATTCATTCACTTCCTAAAAGTACACATGTTTATTCTCTATTTGATAATAAAAAAAATGTTAATTATCTACATACATTCTACAATTTTCATTTTGTACTTTTGAACAAAAAGTACGAGAAATAGTAGTTACACTTTTTCTCTTTTTTTTGTACATAGATGACTGTTGTTAATCTCCATTAAAAAAAACATCTTTCTCTATCTGATTAAGAAGATTGTTTTTCATTACAAAGTAAAGATGACTTTTCTTTCTTTAGTTTGTTTAAAAAGACTTCATTCTATGTTTAATCTCCATCGTTTTTCTTTCATTTTTTTCTTAGACATGACTATTTCTGCCATTTCTATTGTTTCTCTCTCGAATTGCCTTTTTTAAAATTCGTTTTATAACAATTAAAATGTCAGTTGCAATTGGATGAAAGATTTTCAGAATTTTACCAAATTCTTGTCTTCATCAGACTTCACACTAGTTAGGTTTTGTTTGTTTTTGTTCATTTTTACTTAGAATTCATTGTTTCTATTTTTCACCCATTTTTCTATCGATGACTTTCGTGTGTGTGCGTGTGTGCACATGGCAATTTAAAGTTATTTTCTATCTTAAAAAGTATCATTTTTATAAATCTCGTTGGCTCGAGTCATTTGTTTCTTATGAAAATAAAATGGAAAAATCCTAATTGAAAGTCTCTTCTTGCGTTGTATCAAATCTCTTCAATCAAATATAAAAATTCACTTGCTATAGCTTCGTTTGGCACAAGGCCGAATGGGGTGGGGAGAAGATTATGAAGTATCAATTTTCCGAGTGGGGAAAGCGATACCATCAAAATTCCCATCCAAAGTTCAGATTTTTTTTTTTTATCAGTGTTTGAACATTTCCTGTGGTGCAGCTTACCCAAACTATGAAACCGGTTCACAAAATCTTTAATTTAGAAAATAGTATATTTATTTATAACTTCTTTACTAAAATTCCAGTAATTATCATTTTGTATTTTAGGTACAAACATTTTCTGAATTTTTTAGAAAAATCTATAGAAAAAGAATCTATGTGCATATAAGTGTGTGTGTGTGTGTGTGTGTGTGTGTGATGTGAAACAAATTCTTTTGTATTCAGCAGTTTTAAAGTAGTTGCCAGTTTCTTCCAAATTTTCATGGGCAATGTCTTTTTACACCTTTTATGGGTAATTACCATATTTCTCCATAATAAAACAAATGTGTGTACATCTCTCTTGCTCTCTCTCTCTCTCTCTCTCTCTCTATATATATATATATATATATATATATATATATATATATATACCGTATATATGAACATACTCACCCACCCACACTGTATGAATGCGTTACACACACACACACACACACACACACACACACATTTGCGTATGTTTTTGGCCCAGCCAAGAAGTCATTCCCAAATAAAAATTATGATATCATTGATTTGATCAGATTTTGGACTGGGCTGGCTGAGAACTTTTCGACGTCCTCTTGTATAAAGTGTGGACGATATATATTTTCATAATATATTACCTGTGCAGTAAAAATGTGTGTGTGCAAGTTCTGGTTAGAAGAATATGAAAACCAAGACAAAGAAAGTGGAGGAGGAGGAGGCGGAAGAGGATGAGGAACTTGAACATTAGTAACTTGTTTTATTGCTTTTTGTATAACAATTAAACTTACTAGATTTAATCTTCCATGTTTTGCTTAAAATATATAATCAGACATGCTTTTTGGGTAGAATTACTTGTTTTAGCAGAAAACTAAAAGTGCTATGAGAAAGGAAAAAAATCCCCTAAAAAATGTTTATTTCTTTTTGTCAATTCCTCTGTGTGTGTGTATGTATATGTGTGTGTGTGAATGTGTGTGGATGCCTTTGGTGATTAGTTTATCTCCAATGTCATCTTGATGGATTTTGAATCATCAATCCAAAAAGGTTTTTTTTCTTGTTTTAAAAAGTAATTAAATTCTTGATTTTTTTTTCATTTTAAGTAATTAAATTCATCTCATTTCTTACGTACAAAGAATAATTTTTAGAACAGAAATCATTTTTTTTATTTCCTGCAATAAATAAAAAATAGTAAATGTAAAGAAAGTGTATTTTGTAAATCTTATGTAATTCTGATTTTCTAAGTAAAAAAAAAAAACATTTCAAATGATTTTCTTTCTAAGAGTGAAAGATGTAATACAATTGCTGATCTAATCTGTGATGATTTTTTATGAGAGATTTCTAGAAAATATTTCATTGTTATCTTTTTACTTCCTTTTCTTGGATAATTTTTCTTCATTTTCTTAGAAATGTATTTTTATTTTTCCGTTTTCATAGCTGACTTCTTGTTTTGCTGTTTTGCTTGTAGCAGAGAAAAATGCCATTATGAAAAAGAAACAAACTTATTTTCTACTTTTCATGGAGAATCTTTTTGAAAAAGAAATCGGTTTTTGAAGATTATTCTTTGAAAAGTGGTGATTCCTTTATTTCAAAAAAAAAATTTTAAATCTTATTTCTGATGTAATTCATCTCAATTAGTAATTATTACTTGGTATTCATGATTCATTTATTAGATTTTGCTAGAAGATGCCAAATATATGTAGAGGAGGATTTCCCAAAAGAATGAGAGAGAAAAATCCATTACTTTTAGGCTTCAGCCAAAGCCAATTGTAGAATGAATGTGAAATAGTCACAGAAAAGAAGTTCTGTTAATTAATGTTTGTCCCAAAAAGTAATTTCAGTCTTTGATTCTTGAAGTATTTTTAATAATTTATAAAATGGTTTTGATTATGTGTGGAAACTTGTTGGAAATTGATAAATATTTTGTTTCATGAAATAAAACATGCTTAGAATAGTGAGACAAATATTTCTTCATTTTAGATTTAAATTCCAAAATAGATTTTCTTTTAAATAACTGTTTTTATTTGTAAAAGCTGAGTGGTGACCATGTTTATAATTGTAAAAATGTAGGTAGTGAGAGATCATTTGACCTGATCTTTTAGCTTTATCTTTTCTGAACCAAGGATATATATATATATATATATATATATATATATATATATATATATAGTGAGAGAGAGAGAGAGAGAAAGTCTTTTTTGTATAAAAGTGGAAGGAAACTGAAAAATAAAAAATTTCTCATGAATTAATAACAAATATAATAATTATTTGATTTTCTATAAATGGTGTCTGTGAGACAAGTTTCGATCCAAGCATATTTCCTTACTCAGAAGATGAGCTATATTATTGTTCAGCATGAAGTTTTTATATAAGGAACTTGCAATCAAGTTAATCTCTTTTTCAGCTACAATTCAGGAACATTATTTTTATATACACCCAATTCCCAGTTAGAAATCTTCACCCATTCTCTCATTTAAAAACAATCATCGAATTTAGCATAAAGGAAGAATTAACATTTTCA